CTGCCCAAGGGCCCGGGGTCAATAAGGGGCCCCACGATCCCCTATTGCCTGGGGGCCCCATGAGTTGTCAGTCTGCCCTGAACACAACCCAACTTCTAACCTTAATTTCAACCCTATATCTCAACCTAATCTTAATACCTCAACTCCACCTTTGATTGCTGAGGCTTAGCTGGCTCTTTATAGATGGAAAGTTCTTCCTTTTTCTACATATTGCCAGAAAAAAAAATAAATTCAGGAGCTTTTCTTTGCTACATGTTGAAAAATTCTTATTACTTTTCTCTCCAAGGACACAAATTGCATATGTATTTGTACCTGCCATGGAGAGTGCTATTGCACAATTTCAGGCATGGAGCAGGGGAATTGCATAACTCGGCACAAATGACATAACTGGGAAGATTGGCTAAGACCCCTGAGGTCACCCTTTATAGAGCTTCACCTTTGGGATTTTGAACTTGGTGCCATGACGTGAATAGACCTGCTCGGAAAATGTAACAATTTTTAACAAGTAAAAGAAGTTTCTTTTTCAAGGTCACCTCAGACCAAGCTAACACAGGCAACAAAAAGGAGAATCAAAACTTTCACTGTCTACTGTGTCAAAGTTAAATTTGTATCTAGAGTTTGATTCACGTCAAGATCATGAAGTGCAGTGCCGTGATTAGCTGTTTTTCATTGCTTTTGAAGAATGAGCAATGACTGTCAAATGGCATGTGTTAATGACTTCTCAACTCAATTTGCTGCTCTGAATTTTTTTTTGGCCTTCAGAAGTCTACAATCCCGATTATCCAACTTGGACGGAAAAGCAGAGTCGGCCAGAGGCTCTGAAAAGCAGACACAATCACATGACTAATGTGATATTGTAAGACTTGACAGTGAAATAATCGACTCTGAAAATAGCATTTATTGCCTGTCTTGTTTCATTATGACTGCATAGCATTCATTGTGTTTAAGAGCAATTTCAGACACACTGGAAGAGTCTACATGTCTCCATCCTTCTGTATCAACACAGCATAAGATTCCATAGCCCTGGTGCCAAACCTGTGGCTTAAGTGTAGCCATTTAGATTTTGTGGTATTGCCCTTTGTAGACTTCAGAAGTGGGACTGGGAGCAATAATTTTTTAATAAGATACAATGGCATCCACCATCCAAATAATGAGCCGCAGACTGAAGAAGTTTGGCTCCAGCCAACGTTTATTGCAATGACAGCACCCTGCTCACTCCCACCCAAAGACAGGCTGTTTTGTTTGTGTCTAGTACCCCTGGTTCACATATATGCGACCGCATTTTGCGTGAGCACGAGAGCCCATTCATTTGAATGGACTCCTGTGCCCCGTGACATGCAGGAAGAAGTCCCTGCACTTCTTCTGAAAACGCAACCCCCATGGGAACCTCGGTTCACAGTATGGTTGCGTTTTTTAGTACAGGCGGAGTGCCATTAGAACTAATGGCACCCGCCCGCGGGTCCGCTTTCCTCTGTGAGGGTGGATGGATTTTCGTTTGGATCAGCAGCAGCACCATCCGCAGAGATGTGAACCTAGCCTTAGGGTTACTTTGCGATGAAGTAAGGAAGCTAAGAAAAAAAACTGTAGTGTACTAATATGCTTCATTAAATGAAAGCCTGCATCTAAAACTGCAGGAACACAATTTACAGGATGCAGAGTTTTACAAAATATGTATGCCTACAACATGGACAAGCTAACTATCCCTTCTAGCAAATAGGTATTCACAATGTACAGTATGTGATAGGCATAAGCAAGGGCGGACTGACAACTCATGGGGCGGATCATGGGGCCCCCTACTGACCCCGGGCCCTCGGGCAGTGTCCGAGTTTCCAAATGGTCAGTCTGCCCCTGGGCATAAGTATATTAATCAACTACTTAACTTGGGTTTCTGGGTAATAGAATCTTCTCATGGCTCCTTCCTTCTGAGAGTCCCGCACAACTGTTCTCCTTCGTTCTCAGAACAACTGTTGCTCCTTTGTTCCTGAGCACATGGTTATCCAAAGTCCTTTCCTCTCCCCACACATCCTGTACATCATAGTTAGTCTGGCTGAAAAAAGACAAGAGTCCATCCAGTTCAACCATTTAAGAAAAAAAAAAAGTTATAATCTTATACCCACAGTTGATCCAGAGGAAGGTAAAAAAAACCCCAGCAACGCACGATCCAAAAAAAAAAAAAATCATTCCTGATCCACCGAGAGGCAATAGGATATTCCCTGGATCAACTTTACCTATAAATGTTATATCCAGTTATATTCTGTATATCCAAGAAACAATCCAGGACTTTTTTAAAGCAATCCACTGAGCTGGCCACAACCAACTCCTGAGGGAGTCTATTCCACATTTTCACAGCTCTCACTGTGAAGAAACCTTTCCGTGTTTGGAGATTACATTTCTTTTCCTCCAGATGTAAAGAGCGCCCCCTTGTCCTCTGTGATGACCTCAGGGGGAATAACTACACCGAGTTCACTAAATGAACCACTGATGTATTTATACATGGATATCATATCCCCCCTTATGAATTATACATGGAGATCATATCCCCCCTTATGTATTATACATGGAGATCATATTCCCCCTTATGTATTATACATGGAGATCATATCCCCCCTTATGTATTATACATGGAGATCATATCCCCCCTTATGTATTATACATGGAGATCATATCCCCCCTTATGTATTATACATGGAGATCATATCCCCCCTTATGTATTATACATGGTGATCATATCCCCCCTTATGTATTTATACATGGAGATCATATCCCCCCCTTATGTATTATACATGGAGATCATATCCCCCCTTATGTATTTACATGGAGATCATATCCCCCCTTATGTATTATACATGGTGATCATATCCCCCCTTATGTATTATACATGGAGATCATATCCCCCCCTTATGTATTATACATGGAGGTCATATCCCCCCTTATGTATTATACATGGAGATCATATCCCCCCTTATGTATTATACATGGTGATCATATCCCCCCTTATGTATTATACATGGAGGAGATCATATCCCCCCTTATGTATTATACATGGAGATCATATCCCCCCTTATGTATTATACATGGAGATCATATCCCCCCTTATGTATGGAGATCATATCCCCCCCCTTATGTTTATACATGGAGATCATATCCCCCTTATGTATTATACATGGAGATCATATCCCCCCTTATGTATTATACATGGAGATCATATCCCCCCTTATGTATTATACATGGAGATCATATCCCCCCTTATGTATTATACATGGAGATCATATCCCCCCTTATGTATTATACATGGTGATCATATCCCCCCCTTATGTATTATACATGGAGATCATATCCCCCTTTATGTATTATACATGGAGATCATACCCCCCTTATGTATTATACATGGAGATCATATCCCCCCTTTATTATATGTATTATACATGGAGATCATATCCCCCTTATGTATTATACATGGAGATCATATCCCCCCCCTTATGTATTATACATGGAGATCATATCCCCCCCTTATGTATTATACATGGAGATCATATCCCCCCTTATGTATTATACCCATATCCCCCTTATGTATTATACATGGAGATCATATCCCCCCGTATGTATTATACATGGAGATCATATCCCCCCCTTATGTATTATACATGGAGATCATATCCCCCCCTTATGTATTATACATGGAGATCATATCCCCCCGTATGTATTATACATGGAGATCATATCCCCCTTATGTATTATACATGGAGATCATATCCCCCTTATGTATTATACATGGAGATCATATCCCCCTTATGTATTATACATGGAGATCATATCCCCCTTATGTATTATACATGGAGATCATATCCCCCCTTATGTATTATACATGGAGATCATATCCCCCCTTATGTAATTTACATTATACATGAAGATCATATCCCCCTTATGTATTATATATGGAGATCATACCCCCCCTTAATCTCCTCTTCTCCAGAGAGAATACATTCAGTTCCTCTAATCTTTCCTCATAGCTGATCTCCTCCATGCCTCTTATCAGTTTGGTTGCCCTTCTCTGTACTTTCTACAGTTCCCCAATGTTCTTTTTGTGAATTGGAGCCCAAAACTGAACTGCATATTCCAGATGAGGTATTACCAATGATTTGTAGCGGGGGAAATTATATCTCTCTCTCTGGAGTCTATACCACCAGAGAGAGAGGATTTTGCTCACGTTAGAAACCGCAGCTTGGCATTGCATGCCATTATTAAGCTTGTGATCTACCAGAATTCCCAGATCCTTCTCCACCATTGATTCCCCCAGTTGTACCCCTCACCACCGCCACCCCTCTGTCCAAGTATACAATGTCCACCGCCACCCCTCTGTCCAAGGGTCTTGCTCACCTCCTCAAAAAAGAAATCAGATTTGTTTGACTTCTGTCTTTCATGAATCCATGCTGCATGTTGCTAAAAATATTTTTTTCCAGCAAGAACTCATCTATGTGATCTTTTATTAAACTCTCCAGTATCTTCCCAACTGTAGAAGTTAAACTGACAGGTCTATAATTACTTGGTAAAGATTTAGTACTACCACCAGCTGTCTAGACCTTCCTGCACTACCCTCACCACCCCTCCCAGATGGTCTTCCCCCCCTGGCTGTTAGGAATAGCAGTGATATCCATGGCTGCAACCCCTGAGCTTGGCACCCCCACATCTTCACCCAACTTGGCAAATCTGTTTGGGTGCTCAAATCCAGGGCCAGCCTATCTTTTCAGTGGGTCCCTACCACTCCTTTTCGTTACACTAACCCATCTTCCTACCTGATAATCCTGATTAGCCCCTCCCACTCTCCACATCAATCCCATTAGCTACTTGCTCAGGGAGCAAAAGACCCCTTTCAAGGTTGTTGGTTCTGCCCAGTGTTGCAACGTACTCCTCTAGATCTCTAACTAGAGTTTCCAGAAGGGCAAGCCGCTCACATCTGTCGCAGCGGTATCTATCCTGGAGCTGTTGCTCCATTGTTGCATACATTGTTGCACTGCACACAGGGGCGGACTGACCATTTGGAAACTCGGGCACTGCCCGAGGGCCCAGGTCAGTAGGGGGCCCCATGAGATGCCCCTGGTACCTTTTTCATAGGCTTTTTTGAGTTTGGGCAAGGACACAGGGGCCCATGATCCCCTATTGCCCGGGGGCCCCATGAGTTGTCAGTCCGCCCCTGACTGCACAAAACCTTCCACCCTGCTAGCACTCATATCCTAGTTACAATATTAATAGGAAATATCAGTTGTCACTTACAGGTTAGTAGACTTCTGTTAGAATCTCCTGTTACCCACTCCACTTATTAAATGCCCACTTTGCAAAAGGTCCAGCAAGCAAACTACAGGCAAGCTCAGAGTGAACTCTACAGCAAGTTATATAGGACCTGTATCGCCTGAAACCAATTAACCCCTCCCCTTAATTAGCAGACTGAAGGAAGACAAGGAAAGGAAAAAAAAATGCTATTTAAAAAGTGACAGAAAAAGTGATTTAAAAAAGTAAAAGCTTTTAGCAAGGCCCAAAGAAGAAAATAAAACAACTACAAGCACCAACAATCACCAGTAGTCAAAAGTAAAACTTTTTCACTCTCCACTCAAACTTCCCACTCTTTTTAGCTATCAGCCAGCAAAAAATGCCAGTTCCTTTGTTTCACAAACTAGTCCAACGGGTTAATTTGCATCTCATTAAGGGAGGCCTAGCTTCTAAAAACAGCGCATGTAACTAATTAGTGTATGTCTCTGCTATAAACACAATCACCAACAAAGCCATAACATGCCTCCACCCAGATGACTGCGGGGAAGGAGGAGGATACAGACAGGTCTGTGAGCAGGGAAAGGGGTTGGATACATCTAACATGCTGCAATAGCAGTTATAACCACTAGTCTTGTGTATCATGTCAATAAGGAAGAAAACAAGCTCTCTTGCACTCTATGAACCAACCCGAGGTAGGTGGATGAAACCAGGACTTGGAAGTTTCTACCACCAGTGCATATGGGGTTGTGCAGCTCCGAACAAGGCTGGGGAAGCCTGACCAATACTGTGAAGCGAAAACAAACAAAAAGCACACCAACCTTGCGCATTACCTCAGTAAGCCAAAATGTAATAATTACAGAAATATACTCACAACACAATGAAGTATATCAAGCCTGTAAGTCCACAAGGGGACTAAGGATTAAAGCAGCCTGCGCGAGCATCATCATAGGAGTGGACACTCAGGGTACAGCTGACACGTTTCGAAGGGCATCCCTTCTTCCTCAGAGCTTAACTGAACAATGAGTGATCTCTCCCATATATACTCTAGAACTAAAATTGGGTCCTCCCTGTTGTGATGGGCCAGCTTCGATTGGGAGGAGGAACTAAGGTGTCAACAACATGTCTTAATAAATATATACATATCTACATTTTTAACATTTTGAATCAGTCAATATCTACATCTGGGCATGTTTGTTTAATAACATCAGACTAAATTTGTATTAAGATTTTTAAACTTGTATGTATGATTCTTTTTATTATTTTTGTCATTGGTTATACGTAAAGTTTTATGCAATCGCTATTGTTGTTTTATCAAGAGTTGAAATGTACTATTATGTCTCTTTTATCATCAGCATTGTTTATTAAGACATGTTGTTGACACCTTAGTCCCTCCTCCCAATCGAAGCTGGCCCATCCCAACAGGGAGGACCCAATTTTAGCTCTAGAGTATATATAGGAGAGATCACTCATTGTTCAGTTAAGCTCTGAGGAAGAAGGGATGCCCTTTGAATTGTGTGTCATGTCCCCAGACTCTATCTCCTGCAAGGTGTCTTGAGTTTCCAAACATGTCTGTAGCATTTCACACTCCCTAACATTCTTCTCCTGTATTTCTGAAGTCTTTGACAATTTTCTGTAATCTTACACATTCTGAATATTATGTGCAGCCCATTGGTGATGTCAAGAGCAACAGATGAAACCACTTTTACCTTATAAATTGGCAACCAGTGTTCCATATACTTGCTGACTATAGTAAACTGGAATGTGAATGTTGTGGGTAGTACATTGATAAATTGGTGTTCTCTACAAGATGGGAGCATTGATGCAAATATATTGTTGACACAGGTAAACGCCAATACATTTCATATACATGGGTATATTTTCGCTGCCCCTTGGTGATACGGACATAGCACAGCAATCATATACTCAAAGCTTTCGACTAAATCACATAATTTAACACTCAATTTCATCTTAATTCCTTGCCTGAACCTTAAGTTATTTCTTAACCATCAACTCAGCCCTGGCTGCTAACCTGTCATAAAGCTCAACCCATCATCTAACCTTTAACCACAAGTTTACATCTCAACCTAATTCCAAACACTCAACCCTACCTTCGGTCTTTACCTTAGCCCGATGTCATCCCTAGTCCACTCATAAACCTCCATCCCAACATTTAACCTTCACCCAAATCTTAGTCTAATTTCAAACCCTCAACTCTACACCCATCCTTCAGTTTAACCCAAACCCAATCCCCAGCTTCAACCACAAACCTCAGACCTACTCCTAGCTCAACATCTACCTTATTTTTACCAAAATGTATATAGCACAGACAATTTACGCAGCACTTTACATATTGTACGTGCACATCAGTCCCTGCCCTTAAGGAGCTTACAATCTAAGGTCCCTAACTCACTTGCATCCATACACATGCTACAGCCAATTTAGACAGGAGCCAATTAACCTACCAGAATGTCTACAGAGTGTGGGAGGAAACCCATGCCATCACAGGGAGATCATGCAAAATTTATGCAAGTAGGGTTCTGGTTGAAATTTTAACTGAGGACCCTAGTGCTGCAAGGCAGACGTGGTAACCATAAAACCATGCTACCTTCACGCCAGTCCTACATTTCTACATAATTACTGTTTTTGAACCTTATCCATTCCCATGAACCATGCACTTCAATTTAACTTAACTCAGTCCCAAGATTCAACCGCAAGCCTCCAACCTAAAAGCTCAACTCAATAACTGGTTCCAATCCTGCATTTCTACTCAATTCTCAATTTTCAATCCTGTCTTTAACCCTAAACTTCATCTCAGCTCCTAACCCTAAATGTCCACTTTAATCACTAACCCTAACCCAATCCCCAGTTCCAGCTGTAAACCTGAATTTGTAATTCTCGATACAACAACTAACCTTGACTCCAACCCTGCATATCCAATACCTAACCCTTACCACACATCCTAATCTCTAACCCTAAGTGAAAGCCTCAACTCAACCCCCAACTGCCTAGCTGCCTCTGCACCACTTGGGAAAGAACCTGGGCAATATTCCAGGGCTCCTTCGGGGATGAGCGCTACCTAAAATCTCTGCACCACTTGGGAAAGAACATGGGCAATATTCCAGGGGATCCTTTGGGGATGAGCGCTGCCTAAAAACTCTGCACCACTTGGGAAAGAACCTGGGCAATATTCCAGGGGCTCCTTCGCGGATGAGCGCTACCTAAAATCTCTGCACCACTTGGAAAGAACCTGGGCAATATTCCAGGGGCTCCATCAGGGATGAGCTCCACCGAAAATCTTTGCACCACTTGGGTAAGAACCTGGGCAATATTCCAGGGGCTCCTTCGCGGATGAGCGCTACCTAAAATCTCCACACCACTTGGGTAAGAACCTGGGCAATATTCTAGGGGCTCCTTCGCGGATGAGCGCTACCTAAAATCTCTTCACCACTTGGGAAAGAACGTGGGCAATATTCCAGGGCTCCTTCGGGGATCAGCGCTACCTAAAATCTCTGAACCACTTGGGAAAGAACCTGGCCAATATTCCAGGGCTCCTTCGCGGATGAGCGCTACCTAAAATCTCTTCACCACTTGGGAAAGAACCTGGGCAATATTCCAGGGCTCCTTCGGGGATGAGCGCTACCTAAAATCTCTTCACCACTTGGGAAAGAACCTGGGAAATATTCCAGGGGCTCCTTCAGGGATCAGCGCTACCTAAAATCTCTGCACCACTTGGGAAAGAACCTGGGAAATATTCCAGGGGCTCCTTCAGGGATCAGCGCTACCTAAAATCTCTGCACCACTTGGGAAAGAACCCGGGCAATATTCCAGGGGCTCCTTCTGGGATGAGCGCTACCTAAAATCTCTTCACCACTTGGGAAAGAACCTGGGAAATATTCCAGGGGCTCCTTCGCAGATGAGTGCTACCTAAAATCTCTTCACCACTTGGGAAAGAACCTGGGCAATATTCCAGGGGCTCCTTCAGGGATGAAGCACTACCTAAAATCTGTGCACCACTTGGGAAAGAACCTGGGCAATATCCCAGGGTCTACTCAGGGGATGAGCGCTACCTAAAATCTCTGCATCACTTGGGAAAGAACCTGGGCAATATTCTAGGGGCTCCTTCGGGGATGAGCGCTACCTAAAATCTCTGCACCACTTGGAAAAGAACTTGGGCAATATTCCAAGGGCTCCTTCAAGGATAAGCACTACCTAAAATCTGAGGTAGCGCTCATCCCCAAAGGAGCCCCTAGAATATTGCCCAGGTTCTTTCCCAAGTGGTGCAGAGGCAGCCAGGAACACAGGAACAGTCATCCCAATCGGCTCAATGCCTTGCTCCACACTTATGTCCCAGACCAATCCAGAGTGCTCTGAAAGATGATGGAGAGCAATCAAACATGCAGCATGAGAAATCCAGAACCGCCAAAAGCAATCAAAAATGCTCCACTGGCTAAAGAGGAGCCAAAACTAAATGTACCTACAACTAGACACGTGCAGAACGAAAAACTGTGTTTCGTTTAGTTTCAGACCAATTTGTTATGCTACTAATTTAGTTTAGGTGCATTCGTAACATAATTTGTTTCATTTAGTTTAGTTTTGTTTATTCGTTTTCAACCGGATTTGATTTTTTCCAATAGATTCTAAGTACTCGAATCATATTCAAATATCAAATTGATCCAAATTCTTTGTGAAGAATAGCTGGTTCTGTTCTATTTGAAATTTGAATTTGGGAAGATGACTATATTCCTTCTATTCTTTTATTTTATATTGTTTTCTTTTCTATTCTGTTTTATTCTATTCTTTTCAAAATTTTAATTTTAGAAGATGGCTATATTCTATTTAATTGCATTCTGGTTTTTTTTCCTATTATATTATTTTTTTTTCTATTTAATTTTTTTTTCAATTCTAATCTTT